TCATGATGACAAAGATGAAGGCCTCTCGTACCGGTATCTTAATCACGGCGACTATTTAACCCATGTGCTGTTCATATGTGGGTAGTCTGACCTGAATTAAGAATCAAAGCGTTGAACCAGCAAGATACGGTGTCTGTTGAAATTGCCCATCGTCCAGACTTGCTACAAGTCAACCTCAGGAGTTTCTTAGCGAGCGGGGCGAGCTTTTTAAAAGCGACTAAGCAAGCGACGAAGTCGCCGGAGGTTTTGAAAGTCTCGAAAAGTCTACCTATCGCCCCATGTACGGAAATCCGGATTGCGGATTTCGGGAAATTTTTGCTTGTGGAATTCGGAATCCAGGAAACTTTTGCTTGTGGAATTCGGAATTCAGCCCTTTGGAATCTTGAAATACCGCTCGGGAATCCGGAATCCCATTAACGATTGGAAAATCCGCACTCCAAGTTCCACGGACAAAGACTGAAACGTAGCCTCCTCGCAGACGTCCTTTGGGGTTCGTTCGTCAAGCATTCATTTCTCCCTTCTGCCGGGAGGCTAGACTTAAACCAGTGTGGATTCCAGAATCCAAGACTGTCTTGGATTATATTCTCTAACATGGGGCCATACCTAAATGCGGAATAAAACAAATAATCGAAATAGGAGAATGTAAAGTCATGAATAGGAAGACTGGAAGTACTGTAAGTTAATTTGAAATAAGACAAAGAAGATTATAGGAGCGAATACATTAACAAAGTAACTATTCCACTCTACAAGTACAATTTGACGAACAATGCTCAAGTTAAAATATATTTTCTAGGCAATGTTTTTTATTGTTTTAATGATTTAAGAATTCTAAAATAAAATCAGTCATTTGCCAAACTCACGACATGCAAGCACTACAGACTATCTATATGCATAGATCAAAACTTGACATCTTAAATAAACACATGCATTAGTTCCAATTTCTAAACACGACCCTTCCTTTTCTTGACCTACGCTTTTAGTGAGAGCAATTCACCATTAATTCGTGTAATTGCTGACACTTAGAGAGAGACTCCTTGTCTCTCTAATCCATAAACGCTCCATACTGAAAATAGTTCGCGTTTTAGTACAGGTGGACGATCCAAACTCTTCTGTCCAAGCGCTCGCTCCGAACTGAAAATTTCGCCTTTGGAGATCTCCGAATACCCAGCGTAGGTAGTCTCAAACAACTAAATGTACCCGAAGCCGATACTTCAATTTTTGCCCACGCACTTTGTAACCGCTAACTCTCAATTACAGAGTTTCGCAAAGTTCTAACAGATCTTGATCTTTTTTGAACAGCTTGAATCTCTTTAGAAGGCGAGCTACTCCGGCTTGGTGTTAACTTAAAGATTCCTTACTTCTCAGTCATTTGCAAACATATAATCAGGGAATCAGATTGGAAATAAGCTACTTGTTAAATGGGGACGCCTCTTGGGTGACAAGATACTTGGCACTATAGCCTATCGAACGCCAGGTGACCACGGAAAAATCATAGTGGTAAAATATGAACTACTTTAATTGTCAATAAGTGATCTCGAAGACATTGCGTCGCCTTCTGCTTTCTGATTATAACGAACAGAGAAAAATTTGTGTGCTATGCAAAGCCCCTTTTAACTACCCCGTTTGGAAAGCTGATGTTGTCTTTCTCTCTTCCTCTTACCAAGAAGTTTCGCTCATGTTCCGGTAAGTCAGTGACCTTGAATTTTGGTATTCGTGCGAAAACAGGTGCTTTTAGTTCAATTTTCTCTTTTGACTATCTTTTGTCTATTCGTACGTCGCTGTAATGCGCATGCAATTTAGAAGATATTTGGCGCTTTCATTTTTTCTTTTGTCTCTTTTGTAGGATTAGCTCTTTCTTGCTGTTTAGGCCGATTACGAATGATCTAATAGCTTTTAATTCATCGAGTTCAATCAAGTGCTTTGCAGTTGTTGTGATTCCAGCTCTCGTAACGCCTTCATACTATGCATTTACTATAAACTTATTATTAGTTTTTGCTCGGCCTTCAGCCTTCATAAGAGTACTACTTCAGTTGTACTACTAAGAAAATTGTCTTTCTTTTAAAGAGTTTTTGAAATTAAAGTCTGCAGCTTCATCGATGGTAACGTCAGTTCTGATCAACCGGTTAGGGCTAACATTTCATTTCACGGTGCTATTTTCTTTCGCAATTTTAAACGTAACTTTCGATTCATTTTATTGTTGCTCTTTCATTTTCAGTGCGCATTGGTGCACTTCATCTCCAGTCGAAGCATGTTTTCAAAGGACCGTTTTCTTTCTCAGCATTTTAAACATGATCAGGAGACAAAACAGTACTTCAGACTGGGCACTACGAAACAACTTATCACTGACAAGAAGATTAATTATCTTTTACGCTAAAACCAGCCGGCAAGAAATCAAATTTTTCATTTTGCCGTACACTGAAATGTATATGTTTGCTAATGGATTATAAAATATACAACCTTGCTCGCCAGAATCCTATCTCTTAATTCATCTACACACAGAATAAAAATTTCAATGTCCATTTAATCTGCTCTTGTTTCCCAAAGCATACAGTATGGTTTCCACCGCCTGATAAGAATCTGATCAATTTCAGTGATTGTAGTATGGGCCCAGAATTCTTTCGACAAAGTATTTTTCCCCTAAAACTCAACAGAAAGGCTTCCGTTATCTTCAAGGCTTTCAAATATGATCCTCGCCGACGCCAAAGCGAGAACGGTTTTTGCCAACCTTATCTCTGTGATAATATTTGGCACGCGAGGGTTGTGTTTGCTCCCCATGTGGCCATTTTCCTTGAATTAACCCCCCTTACCCATTTGTGCTGTATTCTAATTTTTCTTTTTTTTTTATTTTCAAAGAAAAGCATTTTCTAAGAATAGGGTTAGTCAAGGCGTAACTGTTGACTGTTCAGGAGTACTGAAACCGGGACAAATTGGTATTTTTGCTTCTGTATAGCGACTAGGCTCAAACCAAACCTCAGAATGTTACTATTATTAAGGCAATTAATCTTAGCTGATAAACAATCTTCAAAAAGTGAAATAAGTATAAAGTTATATATAAACATTCAGTAACGGGATTCATATTTACGAGGTCCCGTATGGGAGGTCATTTTATTTAATATAAACAACTGAATACTCCTTACAGCTATGCCCTAAATCCTTGATATTTTCAGTGCTTGTCCCCTGATAACGTCAACAGGATGACAAAACTCCAGGACAAAAGTTTGAGTCGAGACGTTGCGTTGTAGGAAGGATTTAGATTTGTACTTTAGATTTCTTGCTTGAGCTTTTTTTAAACTGTCATTAAGTCCCATGAAATCTCGGAGAGGAGAACCTTTTTTGCGTGTGAAGACGGTCTTCGAGATTAAATTCAGGACAATATAAAGTGTAATTTGAAAAATCATGAATACTTTTTCATGTAAATACGAGGAACTGTATCGCCGATATTTCATTCGATAGTACTAGACTTGGCATTGTAAAGACGGAAAAGGAGCCCGATCGTTAAGATACATATCATACAGGTGAATGAACCAGAATAAGGCCAATGTCATCTAATGCAAACTAAGGTGATGTACGATTTGGTGATCTGAACAGTGGAACCACAAATTCACTAAGCTTTCTTCATTGTTTGACTCGACAATGGACTGTTTAGATAGAAGACCCTCGAACGCTCAATGATTGTGAGTACAATAAAGGTGGCACGTGGCAAAAACACTCGAAATACAATTAAGTGCACGTAATCTTCTTTTATCATGGATTGTTCAGCCTTGTTCCCTTGATCCGGGAGTTACAGACCACATACCAGCGTATTTCGCAAGTTTTATGTACCCACGTGGTGAGGGATAAATTTTTAATGTCGGAGCAGGTTGCGGACAAACTAACACGTACCCAAATTCATCTGTCCGCCATTACTTAAAGCGCAAGTTATTAGCAGTTGACCGCTACCCCGATCGGTGGAATAAGTTTGCATTTCAATTCTTGCAAAAGTAATTTTTTCATTGAGACGCGCATAAACCGAATAACGAAGGGCAAGACAATTAAGCCCGAGTCGCTATTGAATAATGTTATTACGCTGACAGAGATGGGTTATTAAGGCATTGTTCCAAAATACCTTAAAAACGATTTAATTGGTAGGCCATGAATCGCTTGGGTAAATAAAAGTAGTTTCTTAATTACTAAGAGAAGATGAAACAAGAATGTCAAAATATTGGAGGGGGATCTGTCACCTGTCGCTCCAGAAACTGGAATTTGTTTTAAATTATCTGGTTGATACCCAGTGGGTTACTTCAGTTATAACTAGACAAACGGTGCACTAAAATTAACATCAACTCCGAGATTCAAAGACCACGAGATAACCAAGTTGTCGAAAAAATTCTTTTTGTCTTTACAGTTTTCTAATATTCTTTTAAGCCACTTCAAACTTGCGGGATTTATTCCCAGTAGTGGAGATTTTAACTTTACAATTCACTTTTCAATATGATACCGCATTTCTCGGTTAGAAACGGGATTCATTTTAATTAATCGTCAGGTAAGAACTGAGAAACTCCTCTAGGCAATAGAAAATCTCCAACACATAGAAACAATGGACATAGCAAGTTCTTTTATTTTGTTTTTAAACCAATGACAGAAATAGATTCTGTCTTTGTGTGTCTGTGTTTTAAGTGCATATTTGGCAACAACGCCGAACACAACAGCGACGGATGGATTGATTCTCCTCTATATACCCTGAAAAATTAACAAGAAACATTGTAGGCTGGATAATTAGTAAAATAAACGAAAAGAGTATTCCTGTTCGTTGTTTGGACCTTGTTTGATGAATTGTTTCAATATTTCCCTTGGCTGTCATAGCCCAGATATTAGGTCTCCTCGCTGAAGATTTTGGACGGATATACGAGTATCAAAAAACACACACTTGTTTTCGAATGTGACAATTACTGGGTATTCTAGTCCAATTAGCATCCAGAATGCCCACAATCCCTGTCCTTCTGGCCGATTGATTTGGTAATTATTCATTCACAAAACGTCAGCTTTAGAAGAAAGGTGGACAAAATACCCAAAAGAGAACTTATCACAACTTGTAATCTGTTTTAGTCCCTGTTGTGGTGCATTCTTTTACAGTGGTAAACTCGCCGCCTTCTGAGCCGAGACCAGTGAATATGGTAATTTTCAATAGCTCTCAGCGCTGCCTGAGCTTTTGGATAGATCAATAAATCGGCTAACTGGGATAATTAAATTTGAAATAGACAAATGGAATAGTGTTCTTCTCTTTGTAACTGGGCGAGATTAAACGTACAATATGCTGTGTTACAACTGAACCGTATAATTTCTCTTTTCTTTTCTAGCCCGAAAACATGCTGGTCCGGTCATAACAATCAAAGGACACCGATTATGCGCGGACATTGAAAAGCTGCTCGATGATATAAATAAGGATGCGAGGTCGGGAGGCAGGAAGGCTCGAAACTTAGACACAGCCACGGAGCAGCTGTTGATGTGGATGTTCACTGCAAAGAGGAGCAGGGTTGGATTTTCGGAAGGCACCCGCGCAAAATGTTTACCTTCGCATCGTCGTTCTGTTGGTTATTTCTTGTAGTGATTTCTTCGTGCGGACAGGGAGAAGTGTTCACGAACTTTGACGGTGCATCGTACGTGACCTACTCTTACAATGGACAGCCGAGAACCCTTCCAGACGATATCGTCATCGTTTTCAAGACGATTAAAGCTTCTGGAATACTTTTTCACGCTGCAAGCCGCGAAGGCGACTTCATAACACTGGAGCTCCTGCGAGGCAAAATCAGGTGAGCTTCTTAGGACAGTTTTTGCTTCTTTATCTTAGTTTACATCTAAGCATATGTTCGCTGTGAAGTGCGATTTTGATTCCTCTTTTTCAAAAAAAAAAAAAAACAAGCAACGACATTTTTGCCAATAACAGTTCTCGGAAAGCCTGACACACCTCCTGTCATAGGCGAATAATTGTTTTATTTCATTCGAGCGCGTTTTTGTTAAAGAGAGAAGAAAACGAAGACGATATCGTCTGGAAGGGTTCTCGGCTGTCCAAGCTATTTGTCAAGGAAACAATTCTTTCAGTTTTTTTTTGGTGCCGAGCAAGAGACTTAATTTTGTATTACGCTATAATTATTTTTTAATATCTGGTTGAATTTGTGCAGACTTCTGCTGGGAAAAGTGTAATTTCAAAAATTGAAATTATTTAGATGAAAAAGGATAAAAATGTTTAGTTTAAAATTCTATTACTCCTCCCTACCAAAAACCGGTAGACTATATCAGTTTTAAGAAAATGAGAATGCATCCGTGATCGATCAATCTTCCTTTTTAATGGGTTCGAACTACATTTAAATTGTTAGTGAGCCCTGCATGATCTCTCCGTGTTTGTAGGAAGCTCTGACCCTTAACATTCTTCTAAAATTTAGTCTAAGGAGAGTGGTTTTGAAATTCTGTCAAGGATACCGCGCGTTGCTCTGGTCCAATGTTTGACGTTTTTGTCGGAAGGAGAATTATTTTCATTACTTTTGATTATTTGGTCGTAAAATCGAAATTCATTTGATGTTTAAGATTTCCGTTTACTTTATTTGCGATTATGTGTAAGCTGCAAAATCAAAAACTTCTCAATAGTAACTCTCGTAATTTGTTTTTTGCGGCTTCTGCGTCAAGGACGCCCCTCTGAGAGTTATCCAGCTATAATAAGGTTTTTCCTCCATCATTCCGTTACTTTCGCCGATCAACTCATTGAACAAGCCGTGCATAGTTGGCCCGTAGTTACAAAACGCCGTAGTCGATCCACAGGCATTGTTGTAGGAACAGATTCAGTAGGAAGCTAATTACAGAGAAAAGTTTATTGTGTGCTCTCGAAGAAATCCATCGTTTGCACCTGCGTCTCCGAAGATTTGCGCATGCCCATGTCGGTGGACCCGTCATGAAATATTCATATGGAGTGTCCTGTTCCCGAAATGTAAGTCATCGAGTAATGTTACAATAAAAAACAAACATTTTTTGAAAAGTCTGACTGAAAAGAGAAGGTGTTTTTTGCTGTCTGAAACGTCTTAGTCACTGATGGTACACTTACGTACCTGTACACTTCGATATCTATTCATTTGATCGAACGCGTAATAATTGGTAGATCATAACAGATTCGTTCTATCTTTATGTTGCATTCACTTTCATGATGTGAATAAACACAGACTAGAATTTGAATACTAGATCAGCCGCATTTAGACAGCACACAGAACGCCGGCTGTTTTTGTACTTAGTAATATATCCTTAAACTGCAAGCACTATTAAAAACAAAAATTTTTCAAAGCCTCTGTGCTTTTACTACACGTACCGTACAAGGACACGATTTCTTGGTTTTGGTTTCCAGATTTCTTTAGACATGTAGCCTTGATGGTATTAATCTATGATTATTGCTTTTATTGGATTCTTGCAATAAGAAAAACGAAACTCGGTTGTGGACCAATTTTGCTTTAACGTTCTGCCTGTTTTTTCTTCGTGCCATGCAAGTAGCACAAAATTTTAAGTTTGTTCAAAACAGACTTCTACGGCCTGGGAAGTATCCTCATGAATAATAGAACCTGAATGGCTTTGTGCCTCCGCCGTCTTTGAGGGTAGAGGGTATAAACAAAAAGAGTTAAAAACAGAGAGTTTTATTCCAGAATAAGGTATCTTTGAGGAGTTATAGTTTCTCGTTAATATTAAATTTGGTATAGGGAATGGATATTTGATTTCAAGTCTAAAATAGGGTACTGAACAAAATACAAATGAACATGGTTTCTTCCTATACCCGGTAGCACACACCAACCTAATTCAGTACTAAAGAACCCCTAAGGAGCAGGGTCTATAACAACAGTGGTAGCGGGGGCAAACGCAAGGCTCATCAAATTGTTTTAGTTTATGCGGTTTTGCTTAGGTTTTTGCTTATGCCTAAACCGGCTCATGTCCATAGTGAATTTCCCAAATCTTGCAGAGTCGGTTAATGATCCATTCAGCCGCAAACACCATTTCAGTACTTTCCAAAGAGATGTCGGTTTACGTGAACAGAATCAGTTTTGCTTTAATTTTCTGTTTGTTTAATAAGAGTTTGATTCGATTGATTTCTTCAAATATATTATTTATGCTTAGGAAATAGACAGGTCGTGACTGAAGTGAATTGTGTCTGACCTTGATTGTTGCTTTCTTCCTAAAGAACTTTTTTGTCACTGATTTCTCAGTCTGATATACGTTTTGGGGCCCTCTCGGAAAGTGTACAACGACGAGTCACCGTCATTAGGAACCCGAAACTACGACGTAGACGACAGTGAGAACTTCAAGGAACAATAGCTCTTAATATGAAGCAAAACAATATCTCTGCAAGTCCAGCGCTTTTCTGTAAATTTCTTTGACGTCCCTGCTTATAAACTATGACGAGTAATGAGCAAATTTTGCTTTCTCAAAGGGCCGAACGTAAACGGCAGGACGATATTTTTTCTGTATCCGAATTCGAATTAGGATACTGATTAAACACGGCAAGTCGGGACAAGGAGCGTTTGCATGCTTATTAGCCACGAGACAATAAGCCCGAGAAAAGGACGGTTTGCACTCGCAAACCGCGATTTAATAAAACGAATACAATTTTGAATTGTTTATGCTCACACTCAGACACCCCTTCTAAGACTTACCATGACTTGAAGGTCGTGGAAATGACGTTATTGCATGCCCTATAAGTTTGTTGATGTTTGCAGGCCTAAACGTTTTGTTTTGTTCATCCTCCAGGTATTCCCTCTTTGCGGGGAACATGCAAAACGTGACCACCGGCTACGTCATTGGACAAACGGACCTGGCAGACAATAGTGAGCACCAAGTAGAAATAAAGCAAATGGAGGCAAACGGCAGCACGCTCACTCTCTACGTGGATGTCGACAAAAAGCTCATCGAAATACCTGGGTTTTATTCCAGGCGTTTTGCGCATCAGACTTTCTACGTTGGAGGTGTTGACCTTATTCAAAGAAGAAAAAGACACTGGTATTTAAGAGAGATTCTTCCCTACGTTCCATTTGAAGGGTGCCTGGATAACCAACACGTTAAGATTAATGGTATAAACCTCCTCGATTTGGCAAGAAAGGGAAATGCATCTGTTTCTGGAAAACTAACTCCTGGCTGTAACATAGCCTCTGAGGGATATAATCCAATAACTTTTAAAAAACCCAAATCCTTCATCAAGGTGAATGTTCCAGTAATGAACACTGCTTCCTATAGCGTCAAGTTCCGCACGTACATCGGGCAAGGAATCCTGTTACATCAGCGAGCAACGGTAAAAAACGGCGCTAACATAAAACTGTTCCTAGATTCTGGTATAGTCAAACTGGAATTCGCTTCGGTTCCACTTCAAGTTGGATTGATGATAGATGATGGAATGTGGCATTCTGTGACTGTTGATATTAGCTCAAAAAGAGTCACGCTTACAGTGGATAACAAAGAGTCATCTTCTGACTGTGATGGTTCTTTTGTAACTAGTTCCGTGGTATTTGCCGGAGGCAATGAATGGGGGAAAAATGGTTTTGTCGGATGTATGCGTGATCTTATCGTACAGGGACAGAATATCAGTTTGCGAAATTTATGCCGAACCCAAGTATGCAGGAATGAGTGTTCGCTCCCAGACCTCTGTGTTCCTAACCCTTGTAGAAACCGTGGTAGGTGCTCACAGCAATGGAACCAAAGCGTTTGCGACTGCTCGGGAACTGATTTTACGGGTACAAAATGCGAGAAGCCGGCGTTTTTTATGCAGTCATGTGCTGATTGGTATGCTGCGGGTAAAAGGACTAATGCATATTACAGAATAAATCCTCGACATTCAGAGCCTTTTGCAGTCTATTGCAATATGACAAACATGAGAGGTCCTTCAACGGTGATTTTTCATACCCGACATAGAAATAAAGTTATCGCAGCTCGAAACAATCGTGACGGTAAATATTATCAGCACGAGATCATCTATGAGAATTCTAATGACCAAAACATTAGGGACCTAATAGCAAGCAGCACGCTCTGCAGGCAATATCTTCAGTACAAATGCTATAACTCAGTAATTTTTGATTCGCCTAAAACTTTTGATCTTGAGTCGGGCCGAGGAGCACGCTGGGTATCACGTGACGGACAATTGCAGGATTACTGGTCAGGTTCATCTGAAGGGAGTATGAAGTGCGCATGCGGAATGAATGGAACGTGCGTCGAAAGAAACAAGGTGTGCAATTGCGACACCACTGACAATAAGTGGCATACGGATGATGGATATCTAACAAATTTACAACACCTCCCGGTAAAAAAGTTGTTATTTAGCGTAGATGGAACTAGCGCGAAATCTTATTACGTTTTAGGAAGTCTTGAATGTTACGGCTCAACTACTATTAGAACAACCACGACCGACTTTGCACCAAATGGCAGTTTCACCACACCTAATCCAACAGGCCTAGAATCGACCAAGCAAACAGCAAAGTCTCCAAGCACTTCATCCACTGGACCATCTGGTGGGAAAGGTCGTACTAACAACATTCGGGTCAGTACAGTTACCTCTAACTTGGCAGGCACTCTGCACGACAGCACTGCAACCACAGAACCTCAGAAGAGGTCAACAACGCACACCCAAGAAAGTCTTCAACCACACGTAATTGTCATAGAGGCAACTAGGAGATACATAACTATTCGCGAAAACGCCAACCAACAACTTGTGCTTATCATACTTAGCGTTATTCTAGCCGTGTTCGTTATTGCAATCCTTGTGCTTATTGTGAAACAGAACTTGTTTTATCCTTGCAAGTGTCTAAAAGTGCCTTTTTGTCATGAAGTACCCAATTCAGATACCATCGAGCTTCGCCCGCCAAGTCCTGCCGAACCCGAGATCCTGCAGCTTGAAGCAAGCCCTTATCCGGCAAGAAATTACCATACTGTATCTCACGATGGCCGCGATTCACCGTCTTTAGAGATTTACAGTGACGCCGAGACTGACAGGTTAGATATAAGCAATGGCAGCTCCACTTGGAACTCGGAAAACGCGGACATGGAAAATGAAAAATCCGAAAAGCGGAAGGATTTTGAAGATATTGATCTTGGGCTCATTGACCTTGTACCTTTTCCTGGCTGTAAACAATTCAGCACGGAGCAGCAAATTCTGAAACTTAAGGAGGTCTTATATGATGTCCTAACTGCCGCTGACGTCACTGCCACCTACAGCGACAAAAACAAAAACACTACTAACCTTACTAAACGCTGTCAGGAAGTGGCGCAATGCAGAGCTGACGTACAGTGTAACCAGCCACTGTTAACAGAAGACAAACAATTAGGAGATTCAAATAGCGATTCTACAGCTTCTATTTCTGACATAAGCTCAACGATTGAACACTCTCCAGACATCTCTCCTTGCAACGAAGAGATTAATGTGAAAAGCTTCAGCAAAGAATCGTCCGAGGAGAACGCTTACAAATCAGAGAGAGACAAAGGTAGTTTGACTTCCTCCGACCCCCATGATAACTACCTTTCGTTAGATGTGGATAGTCTAGAGAGCGGTACTCTAAGACAGCCATTAAAGGTAGCGAATTTAAATGGCAACTGCTGTTACGATGAACAACTTTTATATGACAATAGTTTTAGCCACCGACGCCAAAAGCAAGCTGAGCTGCAAAATGTCTCCAATAGCAAGTCTCTCAAGAAAAACATGCACAGGCATAGCTCTCCGCGTTCGCACCTATTTTCCCGCCAAAAGAGCGAAGAAGAATCACTGCTGTCTTCGAACCAAGCTAGTCGAGGTAATCCAAGCAGAGGCAATTGTCTCTTAGAAAGTCGCTGTAGTGGCGTTTCTAATACTTTTCATCATACTAAGCAGCCGCACCAGCAGCAGCAGCAGCAGCAGTATCCAAATGGTCAAGAAAATCAGATTAAAGAGCGCTATAAGAAGCCCGCTTGTGCTATGCCGCCCAAGCAACCGCGTGCACAGAAATATGAAACAGAACTATAGCTTTTATATCATTGCTGCCCAGCTGAAGAAATTCTAAACTTATACTGAATTTTTACAATTATTATGAATTTAAAATGGTGGAAAACTCTGTCTTTCCAGATTAGCCTTTTTTTGTCGTTATTGGAAAAAATTTTCAAAAGAAAGTAGATAAATATATTGAGCTGGTAAAAATAAAAAGTAGATTTTAATAAAGTACTATTCCATTATAAACACCACAGTCTAAACTTTAAAGACACTGTTATATTGTTAAAGAGGTGACGTTAAGTACAGTACATGACTCAAGAGAAAAAATTTGTTAAAACGTTTTATAAATGTACGGCCTAGTATTGTTTAATTAAGTTTGATTAAAATGGATACCCTTCTGATAAAAGTGACATGATTTAGGTATTATGGGCTGTTTTACATGCATTATACTGGAATGGCCTTTTTTTTCGGTATGGGTTTCGTTCTAGAATAAAATTAGTCGAGAATAATAATCGAGTGGGTTAGCCTACTAGGAAGGCTTTTTTCGTTGACTTAGTTTTCGCGCCAGATATGCATGCGCCGCTCTTCTGGATCACACGGTTTGCGAGTTCTCAGTTCGAAACGAATTTCGTTTTAAATTTACTTGAAGCCAGAATGAAACTTCATACCAGAACGAGAATTTCAATCGGATTGAAAACCGGAACAAAATCATTCCAAAATGCATGACTTGAAAGGTAATTGACTGTCTGTTCTGTATCATGTAAATAAATACAGAGAAATATTTGGAGATGTAATGAACTCGTCCCAGAAAAAAAGTCATTCCCTTATCATTTAAATATTTCCTTCACCGGAGTGGTATACAGCATTCGTGCCTTCGTAGTGGTCTTCTAAGGGCCACTTCTCATGAGCCCTGTTGAACGCGCTGGCCCGGTTTCCTAGATGATTTGTTGCGGCTCAAAATTCCAGATAATTTTATGTCGACGAAAACGCCTACGAACCGTTACGAGTTAAATACTAAAGAGATGCTTTTCCTTCCATTGTTCTACGAGTAAAGACGCTATTTTAGAGAAAAGAAATGAAAAACTATGCGAGGAAAATGAGAAGAACTAGGATCAGTGTAGCAACCAAGCTACTGTTAGTATGAATATTTTTTTCTTTTCAGACTTTTGCTCCGGTTACCACGAAAATCACACCAAACAATCTGAATTGATAAATCCGAAAAAGGGGCTGGCTAAAAGGAACGCAACTTCACTGACGAAACCATGATTCAAAATCTCTAACTAGCTCTTTTGCGTCATTTCCCAACCAAACAAACCAATTGCAAATTGCTTGCGGGCGATTTCTCGCCCTTGAGACTCAGTCTACTACGAGTCGGTGATTAGTTTATTTTTGGCTGGTGTTACCTTAATTAACATACACAAGCCGTTTCCCCACTGATCCACGAACCACGGTACATTTAATTGCAAGCTGGTTCGACTTGTTGAACGCTATTAAATCGTATTGCACTGGCGAATCGATGTGCGAGAACCGGGACTGAGAGATTCTACCTGGCATTTTTAAGAAAAAAAGATACCAGTTCTTAATCCTCTGTTTGCATAACACATTTATATTTGCCATTAAAAACGAATCTCTCTTGTCAACGTTTCTAACTTCCGACCTCTTCATCTTCTGTTAGTATCTTTAATTAGTGACAAGGCTTTGCATAATTGGTTCCGCCTTTGCCAGCTCCTCCTGTTTTAAGCTGTGTGTGCTGGGTTTGGTCTTCGTCATTCCTGTGCAATTAAGGGTACATTCAATTGATCGCGATTCTGAAATATTTGCACGGAAGATTGTTATTCTTTTATGGGGACTTTTAGCTGCTGCAATACACTTTTTGTTTCATAAGAAATTAATGATATTTTGTGAGACATCAAGGCTGAAATTTGCGAATTTAAAGAATATTTTAAGAATAAGTCCATGAGGCCGAGATTTTGAAAAGGATAATTTTGTGTGTTGAAAATCTGTAATATAATTTATACAACTAACACTTGTTTTAACCTAACCACATTAAAACTGTTTCTTTGTCTAAACGGCAAAACTAGCCAACAGAACGGAAAAAACTTGTACTAACTGTAATTTATACCCTAATACATTCTAAAACGAAAATGTAATAAATGATAATTTAAGAATTATAAAAGAATATTTTCAGTCTAAAACTGGCAAAAAATACAAATAGAGCGGTTTTCACTTGACTGTCGTAAAACCAAAACCAAAGTAAATACACTAGCCAACCAAAGGGCGTAGTAAAACCAAAACCAAAACCAAAACCAATCCCTTTCGACAGTCAAGTGAAAACCGCTCTATTTAGCCTGAGCTAAAAACAAACAATTCCCATAAAAAGAGTGTGCTACATACTCCTCAATACTGTATTCAGTCAAGGACTGTGGTTGCTTAGGTGCACTATAGGCCTAAAAACGACAATTCGTGTCAATAAAATAATTTTATTAGTAACTCTGAAAATGCAGATCTTGAAAATGAGGAGAGGCTACGTCAGCGACCAAATCATCGAATTAGACTCTGAACTTGAGCAATTTACGATAAATAAGCTTTCAGTAAATGATCAAGTCAAATTTCCGAGCTAACGAGTCACAGATACTTCAACGATAATACTACTGTTCGAGTATGATAAAACCACAAACCAATAAAGGTACTGACAGACAGGTGTATATTACAAATGAGGTGGAGATTCTAATTTGTTAACACCTATAGAAGCTTAGCTTAAAAATTTCAAAATTAATCGCATACGAAAAGCTTAAGCTTCTGGCTCAGAATGAGAAATTATTAGCTTTCGTTTTTCGGAATGTAGATGGTCGATGGTAATGCATTAGCCTAGAACTTTTAGAGCAAAAAAAAGATAAAATATAATTAAAACAATTTATTTACTAACATTATGTAGGTGACGTTACCTGGCTCGTTTGGCGATAAAATCCTTAATTAAAGAAAGGGAAGATTAATGTAAGTGCTTGTTTTTGCAATAATAAATGTTTACATCTGGTTTGTTAACACCTCACTGTCAGTTTTCTAAGAGATGATTATTTGCTTAATTGTCTGCTCTTAAAATAATTTACGTAAATGTGAAATGGAAACCGGAATAACGTTAAGATTAAAATGCTCTTGAACGTTCTAATTAAACTACATGTGCAGTATGGAAAGACGGTTCGATTAAGAGGCTGTTGACATATCTTTTTCATATCAAAGGTCGAGGACATTAATACCAAGACTGTGACTGTGCAATCTCTGTTGTACAATTTATTTTTGAAGAAATATATACTGAGCCTTGGATATGGCGGGTCGTTTGAGACTTACATCTGGGCAAAACAAAATTGACAAACTGTTTATTTTTCTAACAATGGCTCTGGCTGTTACGGGTACACATGGAGAGGTAAGCTTCAAAGGCGACGGATTCCAGGTTTATCGCATAGCTGATGTAAACAACCCCGGAGAAAGTAAAGAATTTAAGATGTGGTTTCGGACAAACCAGCCCAGTGGAATGTTAATGATGGTTCAACGCGGAGGTGGTTCACTAGCATTGGTCGAGATACAGAAAGGAGAGCTACGGTAAGTCAACCCAGGCGGGAAACTGAATTGATTCCTGTAACAGCTTTAGTTTTGTCAGTTTTATAGCCTGTGAACAGGCGCACAGGTAGAGCGGGGCGTAAAAGAAAATCGGCGAACGAAGCGAACCGAGCTTGGCCTGGGCCGGGAGAAAAAATGGTGTGGACGCCTTTTTGCTCATTCTCGTCCCCAGAGCCCCCTGTTCCCTTAGCCTCTCCGGCTAAGGGAACGTGAGGCTCTGGGGACGAGAATGTTTTTCTCCCCCAGGCCGCGCTCAGCTCGAGGCCCCGCTCCACTTGGGAGTCTGTTCGCAGGCTACAGTTTTGGGCATATTTTTTGCTGTTTAACAGCTTTGCCGCATGCGTTTTTGGATCGCATCCATCAACAGTTTTGGAACGGTTTAGTTGGCTTAAACTGCCTTTAACCGTGCATTAAATTTGTAACGTGCACTTATATTTTACAGTCAAGGGACCGTAAAGGTTGACCTTTACGTTCTCTTGCTTATGCTTACAACCTTTTAAAGAAACGTCAGAAAAAGAAAGAAAAAGAAAAGACAGAGATGACACTTAAGCTTTCATAGTTCACCAAGAAAAGGATAAGCCGTAAAACAGTTGCTTGCTGCAGTTTATGTTGGTAGCTTTCTTACTGCAGTGTACACGCATTGTGATTGAATAAATTAATAGGTCATTTCCCTTGGTCACTGAGTTTCTTCAAAGTGAAAGGAATTCAAATTCAGCGTTTTTCGCGGTCAAGTTCAAAATAAGCTGACAGAAACAGAAGCAATTACTATTGAGTTACCCTTCGCTCTCATTTGCTTCGATATTTCTTTTTATTCCGAAGAGCAAAAACATAATAGTTCTGAAAAAATCAAAAAACGTTTTTTGGCGCCAAAAAACGTGGCATTTATATCAGTGCACGCTGCAAACCGGCGGTGTGCGGATTAACGTTATTTCCTGCTTTACAGCAACCTTGTTCCCAGGGTTCTCCCTACAGCTCGTCCCTCCTGTGAGGAATGAGTAGGAGCGAAGTCTAGGAACGAGTTAGAGTTAAACATGGGGTTACCCGTCAGCCGTCAAAAGACCTCAAAATTTGACATCAACCGTCAAAAAAGGTTATTTTTACCGCCAATGAATTATCGAAAAGGTAATTAAAGTCGAAGCTCTCCTTGCGACCACTCTCGTAAGCGACCAACTCTAGTTACGATCACTTTTTCGAATTTCCGAGGTAGATAACTTACTAGAACTTCGATTGTACTTATCATTAACCGTAAAATGGGTTCAACGCCTTTCAAATCTCACTCCTTTAGCTGCTCATCCCGGACTTTCAGCTCCACGGAGAATCTTTAATTAACTGGTAAAACCAGTTCCTCATATTCTCAAATTTACTTGCTCAATCATGCTTTTTCCACTTATTTCGGTAATTTCCGCTAGAATATTACTCAG